TACTATCCATTCACCTGTCACTGGCTGACAGATTGAACTGAAGGTAGGCGATTGGCAGCTTGCTTCTTGGGTTCTGATAAAGAAAAATTAACATTACCAATAGTTTTCATATAACCTTCTGTATCTATGTCTAATGGTAAGGACCACTCTGTGAACTTCTTTCTTTCTAATATCCAGCATTTAATGTGGTCACAGTTGTTCTGTTTTTCTTCTTTGTAATATAATCTCAGAAGAACTGTCAGTCATAGCTAATAGGGTTTGTTTTGGGTTTTTTTTTGGTTGTTTTTTTTTTTTTTCTTTTTCCCCCTTTGGCTGAAGTAGAGATTAGGAGCATAATGCAGAATGGACATGCACTTTTTTATGATAGCGTCCCTATGTAAGTTGTGACATGGGTCTTGTGATACCTCTTCAGTAGTGATCTGCCTTTCAAGTTTGAAATGAAAGTTTAAAAAACTCAAACAAACCACAGGGCTCGTTCTGGGTCCTGTCTTCTATACGTTTGGGTCCTGAAACGTGGTGCTTTGTAAACTCCAGTATTGCAAAAAAAAATTGTGTTCAGAATGCTGATAGAGATAATGAAAGGAAAATGACGCTGTTTATCTTTAGTTTCCTACTAGTCTTTATTCAGTTTAAATAAAAGATATATGTCAGACAGAGGATTCAGTTGACTGATTGCACTATTTCTAGATCAGGTAGCTCCTGTTTAGAAGTTTTGAACTCTTACACCACTTATAATAAGCATATTAAAGAAAAAAGAAAATACATAATCATCTTTTTTTTGGCTTATAGGTTATAGAAAGGTCTCCATGCTTTGTCAGGTAATAGTAATTGTGAAATAGCTGGTAAGATGCACATTTAGTGCTGTTTGTCTCATTAAAGAGAACAGGTTAGAACTTGTTGACCGCAGTAATAACAGTAAGCAAACTGCTTTTTGCTGCAAATAAAAGATTTCTTACTGATACCTGTTGATTACAAGGAAAGCAAAAGCAATGTGGAGACTTGCAAAGCTCTACATCCATTGTAAATAAGCAGTTGTATTATGTTCTATATAAAGAACACAGGTAGTCTGCTTCAAGACTGTTTTGTATCTGTAACAATGTTAAATATTAAATTGTAGAGTAGAAAATTGCTGAAAAACTTCTAGCTGATAGTACAAAAGATGTTAATCTGAAAATATGTTTACAAGAAATTCATTTCTGTTCAATTTTACGGGGGGAAATCATAACTTTCTATATACATTTTTTAGTATTTGACAAAACTGATTTTTTCACTCGACCATGTTTCAAGACTACGTACTTATATCATTCAAAAAATAAGAGTTATTTCTGAATGTTTTTCTACTGTATTTTGTTCAGAGCTAGAGCAGTTTTGGGAGAATGAATGCTTTAAGCTTGTTTCGGTTGCCCATTTCCCTCTGTAATCTTACTAGTTTATGGGATCTTTTGAAAATGGCTTTTTTGCAATTCTTCTATGGGTAGTAAATTGGTGTAATAAATTGCATGTGTGTGATTAAGGGTAGCATTTTGGCCTCTAGGATTCTCATTACTTTCGATAATTTACTAGATGGAAAATGCAGCTCAGGATGTGGTTAGCTGGTTCACAAACTCGTTTTTTGACGTGCTGTCAACCAAGGATCCCAAGTCTTTTTTCTACAGTTGCCCCCTACTCTGTCTTCAGCCTTTGCCAATGCATGAGTTTGTCCCCAGGTGCAAGATCTAGCATTTGTTTGAGGTTCCTGTCAGCCTATTCTTTCAGTTTGCTAAGCTCCCTCTGAATGGCAACCCTGCCCTCAAGTCTATCAACCATGTCCCCATCCTGCCTATTTGGTGTCTTGGCAAACTTGCGCATTCTGTTCCATTGTCCAGGGTGTTGAAGTTAAGTTGTGTTGATAGAGATCAACTCCTGAGGAATGGCATCTGTAACAACGTGCTAGTTAAACTATGAGGAGTGCCAGTTAGACTTTGAAGTATTGATGACTACTCTTTGAGCCTGGTAATCCAGACAATTTCCCACCCATCTTGCAGTCTACACATCCCTCCAACTTGGCAACAAAAATACTATGAAACTGCATTGAAAACCTTGCAAACTTCAAGGTAGACAACATCCCTCATACTTTTCTTGTGCACTGAACCAGTCATCTCACCGCAGAAGGCAGATTTACCAGGCATGATTTGCCATTTGCAAATCCACGTTGGCGGTTCTCGGTCACCTTGCTGTTGTTCTTGTGCTTGGAAGGGGCTTCCACGAGGACTTGTTCTGTAATTTTTTTTTGGACTGAGGTAAGGGTGGTCATTCTGTTGTTCCCCAGGTGTTTCTTTTTCTTCTTCACCTTTTTGAAGGTGACTCTATACATTTATCTTCTTCCAGGGGCATACTCTTCAGATGTGATAGGGAGAGACCTCTTGTCCAGCATAATATATGCATCCCACCTAGATCCATAAGCTAGCATATTTCCAGTTTGCTTAAGTTGATCCTGTTACCGTAAGTCGGCAAAATAACTCTCTAAGTCTCGTTTTGGAGTTTTAGAAAGCAGGAATTCTTTAATGCGGTGCCGGGCACACAGGGGATCGCTCCACCTAGTGTGTATGCTGAATTATTTAACTACAAGAATTATATTAGCTCAAAATACACATATTCATTACATTTCCAAGAAATAATCTAAATATTCGTATTATTTGCTGGAATTCATTAACATATGCAAATGTCTTTGACGCATGTGCCTTTATATCTATAGGTGGTCTTGCAGGGTCTCCCAGTGGTCTTTTAGGGTCCTCTGGTGGTCGTCGATAGTCTTCCTCACAGTGTCCTTTAGTTGAACTCAGTCTTTATGCATGCTCAGTTTATCCCTTGGCTTGGCTTACGTAATTCTCACTTGCAACGAACCAGCTTATTGCAGTATACCTTCCCTATCTGGTCTACAAGGTTAGCTTCTTTATCTATTTTACGCAGACTACAAAGTTTCAAGGCTCTTCTATCTGCTGAATGTCCAACTTATCTTATTCATAAGGCATTCCTAACCCAGCTGCATCATTTCAACCAAAAATCATACATTTCTTTCACAATTGGTATCAATCCTTCTTTCCTGCAGGTAGTACTTCTGTCCTCCAAACTCTACTGCTAGGCACTGGGGCCTGAGAAGCCCGAGAGCAGACCTTGCAGGTAAATACTGGCAAGGTATTGAGTGTCTTAGCCTCTTTCATGTCCTGTGTCACTAGGTCTTTCCTCTCTTTCAGCAGCGGACCTGTGTGGTCCTTGCTTGTAGAAGGATATCCAGTATGCTCATAGAATCCCTTCTTTTTGTTCTTTGCATCTCTTGCTAGTTTCAGCTTCAGCTGTGGTTTTCCTGATTCTATCCCTGCATGCCTTGAAAGTGCTTCTGTGGTCCTCCTGGGTATCTTGTCTCAGGTTCCACCTTCTGTAAGCTTCCTTTTTGTTTTTGAGCTTTGTTAGAAGTTCCCCATTTAGCCAAACAGCAGATCAAACGGACCCTTCTCATCCTCTGTGGAGGTTGTCCTTGAAGATCAACTAGCTCTCTTGGGCACCTTTGTCACTCATGACCATCTCTCATGAGATCCAGCCAAGCACAGCCCTGAATAAGCTGAAGTCCATTTTCCTATAATCCAGGGTTTTTTCTTTGTTCTACTGCTTGCCTTCCTCACTTCCCTTAGAATCTTAAGCTCCGCTATCTCGTGGTTGCTGCAGCCAAGGCAGCTGCTGACTTCCAGGTCCCTGATTAGGCTGATTTTTTTAAATTTATGAGTAGAAAATTCATAGAGCAACACTCCTAGTCAGTGTTTTCAGTAGTTTTCCTACTCAGTTTGTTCAGCATTTGTGTCAATACTTGTCCTCAATGCATTTGAAATCTGGATTGCTTGTGCCCTACTGTGTTGCTCTTCCAGCAGATGAACTGGTGGTTCTATTCCACCATGAAGACCAAGGGTAAGCGTGTGAAAGCTTTCCTTGTTGCCCTGTCCTGTGTGTGTGCCTCTCACCTCACATCTCCAGCACCCCAAGAGCTTGGTTTTGTCAGGTTTAGAAGATACCCTCCTCATGATTCCCAAATTTCTTTTGGTATGTAGAAGCAATGATTAAGTACAAGTGTAGTTTATGTGAGACTGAATGCGTTTGCCTTCCAAAGGCAAATGACTTATTTGGCATATATCAGGTAAACACTTATTTTTGTTTCCATATATTTCAGCACACAAATAGATGATTTAAACGTTGTCATTTCTGCCTCAGTCTATAATTTATTTTGACCTAAATAATCAATGTAGATCTACTCATCTGTTTCTTCTTCACCATAGAGAGAGATACTTGTGTTGAGCTGTTTGTATTTCCTATTCTGCATATCCTAGAATCAAGACCAAAAAAATTTCAGTATTACATTGTGATAAAAGTGATCTGTACTGGTGGTAGGTGCAATGTAGGAAACAAAAGTCTGATCTAATGGAAGGTGTTGAAAAGCAATAGCCAATGTTTTGGCTAGTTTGTTAACCAAGTTTTGAAAGGAAAAAAAATACACCGAACAAACAGGCACCCCCCCCCCCCGCCCCCGACACCCCCAATCCACAAAAAGCCCAGAAGTGGTAACGTGCTGCAGCTTTTCAGATGGTTTTCACGAATACACCGTTATAATGGTGGTGGTGTATATTAATTCAATATTATCTAAGTCTTCAGAAGCATTGTATTTCTTCTGGGGATGAAGCTTTATGAGGAAGAACCAAGAATACAAACTTGATTCTTTTTGGAAAGGGTTTGTTAACTCTGCACTTAACTACCTGAATATATTTTTAATATTCTGTTCTTTTCGGATGTGGAAAAGAATACCTTGTGTAAGGTAATACTGTCTGTTTTGAATTATAACGAACATGCAAAACGTAAAGAATCTGTTGTTTATTTTAATCTTCAGGATTTTAAACTTTTATTTAGCGTGGATTAGGTGTTTCTTTTGGTTTCGTCTGTATCATCTGTTTTAAAATATATCTTCAAACCTGACACAGGCTTCAAGCCGTCAAGAAGATGAACAAGTGGTCCTTGTCAGAACAGATCAAAGCGGAAGGGCATGGCCTGTGACTGCACCAGCTGAACCACAGGAGCCAAAAGGAGGATGGAGAAAGCGACAGATGGTAAGTTTTACAAATGTGAGTATTGTAATTCTGAAATGAATTTGTAGTTTTACTTTTATGATGCCATAATTAATATGAGTGTCTTATGAGAATGTCAATAGGTAGTTAAAAAGTTCCTTTCAGATGATTGTAATTAGTGTTAGAGTACATATTTGTTAAGCATATATTAAGTTTATTTTCAGACTATGTTTCCCTAGGGATCACTTTAGGGCTTATTTATATGCACATTCAAGGAAAAGTAAGTTTTTCAAGTTATCACAGTCTCTTAGCCAAATAGTTTACATTACCTAAAGTAATGTAAATAATGAAGATTAGCAGAGGTGAGTATTTCCAAAATAAGAAAGATTTTACTGAGATATTCGGGTCTCAGGGGCTAATTTTCCTTTTCTTTTCTTCTGATCAAAAATACTGCTACTGCTGATAATAAAAATTATGACCTAATCTTTGTAACAAAGTGCTTTGGGGAACAGTGAGAAGCTTGGAGGCTGGAGCAGTGTTTATTCTTAGGATAATTGCTTGCAACAGTAAATAAACTAATATTTTGATCTTGGGAAAAGAGGAGATGACAATACCTCATACTTTTAGCAAGCATGTTCTTGATTATCAGTTTGTAACACTGCTGTGGAGGAATGAAAGGCATGAGAGGGCGAGGAATTGGTTGTCGTCCTCCTGTTGTTTCCATTTTGGAAAATGCCATCTTGCTTTATGTTGATGACCATTCCCTATGCTCCTTCAGGATTTAGTTTAGTCCTGCCCTAGAGGACAAACTCTGTTCTCTCGTGCACTCTCTCTAAGATGGCAACATTTCCCAGAGGTACCACATTTATACAAGTTTTCAGTATTGTCTGTGATTGCTGTGTTTCAGTAGTGTCTCTGACACTTGACAATTCAAAAGCTTCTGTAAATAATGAAGATTACTTTTTGGAATATTCCATTTTTGTGAGCCGATTAACTGTTTCAGTGAATTACTGTCCATCTTTCCTGAGTGGTAATGTAGCTTTGATAACTTAAGGATATAGCGCTTGTGGGAACAGGCTCTATTTTTATTTAGACGTACTGATCGAAATGAAGAAAGGGGAGGATGTTCTTTTCCTTAGGTCAAATGAAGCAGCAAGCCCAATTGTTTTAGATATGCTTAGCTTGATTCATGATTCCTTAAACTTGTTGAAATTATTAGGATCTGAATTGTATAGTTGATCGTTCTCACTAGGTTAATATTTAATTTCAATATGTTTGTTTCCAGGTCTCTACTCATATAGATAAAGAAAGAGTAAGGTATTTTCAGGATGATGATAGTATGAACCTGAACGATTTGGTCAAAAATGAGAAGATGAGAACAGCAGAGGATCAAAACTCACTGTTCATGCGTATGGCGTCAAAGGTAAGGTGTCTGAGTGTATGGCTTTTTAATTAAGCATTTTATTATTAGAAATATCAGGGAGGACATGAGGCTTCAGTGCTCTAGGTATGTTGCTTTTGGTTGAGAATTCTGATTGTCTTGAATAATAATAAAGTTTGTTGTAAGATCGTCCTGGTAGATGTTATCAAAGTGATGGAAACCTGCATGCATGCAGGAAATGTGGTGCCTTCGGTTCCTTCATAGAGGTGATTGTGCTGTTCCTCTGCCTGTAGAATTTGATGTTTTTGAGGTGAACGCTTTTAGAGTGTGTTATACATTAATAGGTTACTTATGCCCAACAAAGCAGGTTTTCCCCAAATTAGTGAAGAATAAAAGCAGCATTTTCTTAGTGTTTAGATGGTCTCTTCCATCTAGAAGTTACAAGAATCAATGAGATTTGAAGCAAACTACCTGAAATTCCATCAGGATGTCCTAGATAATGAGATAATTTATGCTCACAGGCCACACAGATTTATACGTTATGGTTCCATGAGTGATTCCACTTAAAAGAGCAGCCAGCTCACAGACAGATACTGCAGTGCAAATGGAATAATTAATTTCTATCATCCAAACTGAGTAATAAAGGATACTTTCTGTGCTTGATATGGAAGTGTTTGACAGAGATGATTTCCAATAGCTATGACATACAATTTCTCTAGCATGCTTCAAATTTTACTAGGTTACTGCTCCAGTATTTTGTGCACCACTGAACAGGTTTTGAAAAAGCTTGTTAGCATGGAATTAGTATCATCACAGACAAAATTTGTTTTTCCATTTATCTAAAAGACAGACAAGATCCTGGAGGATAGGTTTTGTTTTTTGTTTTTTTTTTTTTTTTTTTCTTTTAAAAATTCTTCTTCAGAAGAAGAAGAAGAAAAAAAGAATCAGAAAAGCCACGATAGTACCCAGTAGAAAATATTTAACCTGATGCTATAAAGCGTCTGGCAGGAAGTTCTTCTGGAGACATTATCAGAACTTAGTGTGGTTTATGCATCTTCTCATTCGGCTGCTTCTGATAGAAGTTCTCATTCTCTCCCACTGACATACTCAAAAAAATGATGCCCTTGGGGTCCATTTAAATAAACATGTCTTGTTGCCAGTATTTGAATTTCCTTCTTTACCTTCCCTTCCAAAAAAAAAAAAAACCCCAAACACATAAAACTTTCCTTCAAAACCTGTGTAATTGTGCAAACTAACTATAATTAACTAGCATATCTGTCATGCTAACATTTACAAGTAAATTAAAATGTAAGGACACAATAAAACTTTGTACTGTCCTCATCATATGAGAATAAGCATAACAAAGAGAAATGGTTACCATTTTCTCAAGGACCTTATTGATCTTGTATTGTCTTGTCTCCGTTAAGTATTTTCTTTAGAAGAGGTAACTTTTGTGAAAAATGGTGGTTGGGGTGTGTGTGTATGAATGCCTACATTAAAACATAAGTGGAATGGAATTTTTAAAAAAATCTTTAAGTCAACCCTGAGCATCGAAGGGGAGTTTGTAAATTGATATTAAGATGTCTTTCTGAAATTATTATTAATGTGTTCAATTTGTCCTGTGTTTAGTCTGATGTTTTCATGTGATTGCTTCCACCGAACAGTTTACAGGATTGCTTTTTGTGTTCTGATTCTTTTCAGACATGTGAAAATAAAACCAGGCTAATTTGAGCTTCCCGAGTTTGGTAATAGCAAAAGTTTGCAGTGCCCCTATGAAGACATAGGGGAGAGTGCTCCCAAAAAGAGAAGGTTTTTTTTGGTTGGATTTTTCCAAACTCAAATGAAAGGCCATTCGGACTTTTCTGAGAAACGTGTGTATTTATACAGTAATGTACTTGGTTGCCCCTGAAATTTCTAAACTTTGTGAAAAGTATTGTTTGTGTATTCATATATTTATTGATTCCAAGTTACTTCACTTCAAACTGGAAATACTGTTTGACTCTTAGAGCATGTTCAGTTGTCCTCGGTTTAGTTTTTATATTTTTGGCATTATATTAAGTAATTATTAATGCAAGGAAGACTAGCAAACTTGAAGGGAGGTCAAAGATTTCTATATTATTTAGTTTTGTAAGTCTTCAAAGGGAAGATAATTTTGATAATTTTTCTTTGTAATTTTTTTGTTCTGTTCTTTTTTTCTATTCAATTTTGAAATGCTGTGAATTTTCCAAGTTCTTGATGACTGAGACACTTAATGCAAGAGCAGCTATATGAGAGATTCACTCAGCCCAGTGTGCTGTGTCCAACAGTGATTGCTTAGGAGAAAGAGTATAAGAACAGGCCACATTTCCAGTGATGAAGCCTTTAAGTACTTCCCTGGCCTTTAGCAATTTGGAAGTTTTTATGGTACCTTCTTACCTGGTATTTCTGTCTGCTTTTGGTTTATGGATAGTTATGTTAATTGGGGAGTGGACTGAATATCCACTGTTACTTCCTTTCTGTGGCTCCTCATCTCCCATTCTATCATCTGTACCTATTGCTAAAAGGCATGAGCTATAATTATTGAATTTGAAGAAAACAGAAAGCCAAATCCTGTATACATAACATCTTTGGTTAGCATTATTGTACCTGCAGCCAGTTCCTTAAAGATTTTAGTTACTTGCACTGTAAGGATTTCTGGGACAATGGTGAAATTTGATCCATTTAGGAATGGTGCAGAAATGGCCTGGCTCAGTATGTAACTGTTTTAAAAATAAAGATTCTGTACAAATGAGGGTGAGCTTTGGCAACTGAACTTCTGCATCCATATAGTAGAGGAAAATGCAATATAGTGTTTAACTTTTATAAAGAGACAATTACAGAGAAATGTGGAGTCTATTTAGTGGGAGTTTAAAATGAGTATGTAAAGAGAAAATGCTTGCAGGTTATGAGGGACTCTCTAGTACTCAGTGCTAATTGCACATGTATGCCACTGGTGAAAACATTCTAAGGGAGTGAACACCCTCCCAAAACGGGGTAAAACTTTATTGAATTGTTTTTATTTAAAAATAAATCCAAGGGTGGGTGAACAGAAGAATAAAGAGCTTCTGGAGGCTAAAAGAAAAATCAAATCCAGAACCCAACCATTATTTAAAAAGTACTTGTCATGTCCAAGTAAGGAGAATGGAAAAGAGCGTGAGCCTAGCAGGTGTAGAAGTAAACTTTGATAAGAAAGATTGAAAAATTATCTTGAGGGGATTACTTTAAGTAATTATTTTGAATTTGCTAAAAGCATAAAACTAGGAGTTCAATTCATTGGAAGCAAGAAGCCTGCAGGAATGTGGTGTTGAAAAAACCTGATCAAGGTATAATTAGAGCATTTAGGAAAGATAAGTACATGCCAGAAGAACTAATGAACTATTTGCATTAATATCCTTTATAAATGAGGTCAGAGTGATTCTTTTGCATGAGCCACTATTTACAGGGAGTAAGTGGAAAAACTGTCTCAAGTTAACAGTGTCAGTAAAATGAGTTTTAGCTCAAATTTCTAGAAATCCATTATTTTAAAAAGAAACTTGAATTTGAGATGAATAATAACAAATGACTAAAACCGAATGGTCCTCACTTAAGTGATCTGAAAGAAATCAGGTGTGACATGCTGAACTATGAACTGCTGAGGGTAATATTTATTCATCCTGAGGAACAGAAGATGGCAAGTATAATGGCAATCTTTAAAAAGAAAACAGAGGGCAGGAGTAAATGGTTATTTTTTATTATAAAAGGAGGTTACCGGTGGATTCATCAGGAATCTCTTCTATTCAACACATAGGTAAATCATCTGGAGGAAGGGATACTTTATGACCCGACAATTTGTTACTGTTATGTAATTATTCAGGACTGTCAAAAATAGAGGTCACTGTAAGTTGTAAACTGTAGAATTTCAAAATACAAAGCTTGAATTTTTCTAACATTGTGAAATATATCTGAACTGATTCTTAAGATTCACTTTAGAGAGTTGCTGGAGAGACGTACCTATTTTAGTGGTGCGAGTCATCTGTCCTATTTTGAATGCTGTCTGACAGACATTATGGGTATAAAAGGAATTAAGATGTCTAGCTCAGACACAGGAGATTATGTTATAGACCTCTCAAATAAGGAGAAAGAGATCCCACCGTAAGTATCAAGGCAATACATTCAGATGAAAGTCAGGGTTGATGAATGCAAAATGATGGTAATCGTGAAGCTGAGTGAAGCCGTAACTGTGCATATATCACAAGAGGCTGTTACTGCTTGATTTGAGAGTCATTGCAAGTCTGCAAATCTCTCAGTGCTGGTGTGATTAAAAAGAGAAACAGAATTTTGGAGATTGTGAAAAAAGGGAATTTAGGACCAATTTAAAACATATAAGGCTACTATAGTGCACCCATGGTGCACCCATAGGTTGAATGCTACCCAAGCTCGTAAAGCGTACCCTGTGGTCAAAGGCACAGAATGGTGGCCGTTTGAAGAAAACCTAAGTAAGCAAAGTTTTTTCAGCCGGGGGCGGAGGGAGAAGCAGCTGGTAGACTAGAACACACAAGTAGCATAAAAGTTTAATAGAAAACAGCTATTTTTATTTCTCATATGTGAAGTGGTCACAGAGCAGAGCTTAACATGAAGGAGGGTTTTGTGGTTTTTTTTTTTTCAGTCAAGAAGGAAATTGTAGAACTTGTGCTGCAGAGCATGAGATGCTGTGGAGGCCTTAATTGTGAGTGGGAGGAAAAAAGATACAGCGACTTTGTGAAGTACAGTTTCATTGGTAAATATTAAATAGGGAGATCCAGATAGGTTTTTGGCTCAGGATTTCCACAGTGAAATGCTGAGAGCTGCAAGTGTGTAGCAGAAGTAAGTTCTACGTGCTTTGTTTATGCTTTTCCCCATATGTTTTAGCCATTTCTGGAGACTGATTTTGCAACATAAAATGATCACAGTTGGTTAGAGCAAGCAGCTGAGTTTAGTATCTTTCATTCTAAAAGCCTCTTTCCTTTTTTTTGTTTGTGTTTTTTTTTGTTTTGTTTATTTTGTTT